GAGGTGACAATGTACATCTGTGAGCCGTGAATCTGGATGAAGATATAACATCCCTCGAGTGATTCCTCTAATAATGTTGTAGCGTTTTCTCCAATCCAATTGAATCCTCTTTACATGGTCTACACATCCAATTTATAGAACCATTAGAGTATACCTATGAGACTAAGAACTAAAATTAAGTGAATATATTGTTTCTTACCAAAGAGGAAGTAGTTGAGACTTTTATTGGGCACAAACTAGTAGACAAGTATCCTTTCTTCTCCTTCGACAGAAAACCCGAGAAGCCTAACCAGATTTCTGTGTTGGAGCTTTGCTACAAGAAGCACCTCATTCTTAAACTCTTGTTCACTTGTCCAGAATTTTTAGTGAGTCTCTTCACAGCAACTTCAGTTCCATTCGGGAACGTTCCCTGTGAATTCGTTTGACCTTTACACACTATCAGAGTTCATTTTCTTTTTTTGCACCTGATTTTATAACATACACAAGTAGTTGAGAGGGTTTAAGAAAATTATGCCTTGTAAACTGCACCAAATCCACCATGACCAAGCTTGTTACTCCTTTGGAAGTTACATGTTGCAGCTTCAATTTCTCTAAAATCAAATTGATATGAACCTGAAGTTGTAATATCATCTGCAACTGAAAGCATAGATAGTGTTAGGATGGATCAACTGTTTTAGGGGAAAGATCAGTAGCCTCATACCAATATCTGGTGGTGCAGTACCATAAGTCGTCCTTGACCTCCCTTCAAGAGAGAAATAACGATTTAAGACGAACAGATAAAGAGACACAATTAGTTTAGCATTGATGCCAAAATATACTGAACTGGAAAATGTTTATACCCTGATCAATCATAGTTTTACAGAAAGATTATGAGCTTCCAACTCAAATCTAATTAACCTAAATAGATAGGCTCAACTCTTTATATACTAGGGTTGAAATTATTTCCACAGTTATGTGTTGTGGGGAAATAATAAAAACTCACTTAAATTTGCAATTTCTTGGTGCGCTATTCTCCTAATACAAAGTGCAACCCCTAGTGAAAGCAGCATACTGATCACAAAGGTGAGAACACCGGTGATTCCCACCACAACTCCGATAGAGATCTTTCTGTCACCTGAACAAGCCCAAATCACCTATATGTTATGGCGAAAAATGCGATGAAGCTATTAACGTACAGTGAGTCTAACTCACGAAAAGTGACAATAAATTCAAGCAAGGTTAACGAAGAGACTAGAAAAACAAGGGTTTGACCTTTTTCAGGAGAAGGAGTTGGCGATATATTTTCATCAAAAACTCCAAAGAATGGATCAAGATCCCATCGCATGAAACAGCTCGGTCTCTCAGTAATGCCACATTGTTTCCCACTGCAGCACGATCTGTAGTCATCCACGTTCTTTCTTAAACATTTGTCGCAGTTCGAGGCATTTATATCTTTACTACATTGCTTGAAACCGTATAAGCTCCCCGCAGTCCCAAGTTTTTGTCTCTCGGCTCCGTAAACATGGCTGTGGACCCCGAAGAAGTAGCTTCGGCTATCACACGACGCATCAAAGACTCCCATGCATTATCAAACTCGGTGAAGTTGACTTGTCTTATCGGGTCCTATCTCGAGCGATCCAAAAAAGGAACGGTTGGAGTAACGTACCATACATAATGTATCAAATTCTGCCCACGCGACACCTTCTTCCTGGCTACTGCATCTGTTTATTAACCCATCAGAAGCAGTGACGATACAGTTGGAACAATTCTGTCGATCAGAACCTGGGATGCACATCCCCAGACCATATGCTATGTTCTTGTCTTGTCCCATCGAAGTCGTGTAGAAGTCATTATAAGCCGTGACATTTGAAGGAAGAGACGAAAGTAAGGCTCGGCGGTTTACGTCGTAGGCACTATTGGGTGTGACAAAACCAGAGAATTCAAAGCACCATTGTGCAGAGACAGCACAAGACCTTATGAGCACAAACGAGAAGACTAATGACAAGACAACTTCCATCTTTTACTTTCCCATTATGTTTTGTTTGATGTCTGAAACCTCCTATTTTGAGATTTTAATTTTAACACAGAATTGAATATTCAATCTTAGTATCGTGTGGTAAGCTGTGCAGAATTGACTAATCTTCATCGATTTTTTATACGGAGACTTTGCAGAATCAACCGATGGATGTGTTGTTACCGTGAGACGTGAGTAGACCATCTTCGTTTAAGGTATTTGGTTTTACCATAACCGGTTCAGTGAAGACCGAGTCTAATGGTGACCTGTTTCTCCATGAAGAAATGTATTTGAAAGTTCAATTTATAAGCCATGTTATTGGAAGGAAGAGAAGAAAGGATGAGACAGCAGTTTTTTTTTTCGTAAGTGCTATTGGGACTGAAAGTCCCCATGTCAGTCATGTATTCTTGTCGTAGCTATAATATTGACTTAGTATTTGTATTTAGTATCGACACATACACGCATGTTCTCGTTTCTTACCAACTTAAACAGCACTTAATGTTCTGATGTTGACTTCCTCAAACTGATAAGAATTTTCCTTAAACCAGCCTACACGGTCCTAAATATACCAGGGTTGAATCAAAATGTAAGTTCGGACTTGTACAAAGATTGTTAAATTATATGAAGAATGAGCCAGTAAGATTACGTTTTAGATGTACATTGACCAAATCCAAGATGGAGAAGGCGATATGACTCCTGGAAAAGAGCAAAACGAATCCAGCAATCTAAATCCATAACAACCAAAATCCTAAATTCTAATTCCTAAATTGAGTAGAGCAAAGACACAGAATGCACCAGAGGGAGAACACTAATGGCGTCTTCATCCTGTTGCTTGTCTCAAAAAAAACTACCAACGTTAATATCAGAAGTGGAGCTACTGTTTCGTTCTGGTATGATAGCTGGTCCCCACTGGGGAGACTGATCGATCTGACAGGACCTCGCCGCTGCATTGACATGGAAATCAGATAGGTGATACAGTGGAAATGGCGTTTCAAAGATATGGTTGCAGAAGACATAGGGTGATTGCCCTGCTACAAATTGAGAGTGAGATCTTGAAGCTTAGAACTCAAGGTCTGTCACAAACTGAAGACATTCGACTATGGAAGGGGACTAACGATGATTTCAAACCGGTTTTCCGTACTACTCAAACATGGAACATCACAAGAGAGATTACTCCAGAAATAAACTGGTTCCAATTGGTGTCTGGTTTAAAGCAGCAACTCCAAATTACTCGGCTAACCACTGGAGATCGGATGAAGAAGTGGAATTCATAAGTGGATGAAGTATGTATTCTCTTAAACTGATGATGGGATCGCCTTATAGAACAGTATGGGGAAACATCTTGTCTTGTTTGGTGGATACAACGTGGAATCACTCTTCTCTGTTCTTTTTCCGGTATTTCTTTCAAGCTACGGTTTATTCTATTTGGAGGGAGAGTAAGGGAAGGAAACATGGGGAGCTGCAACAAGATCAAGCTCACCTAAGCAGTTTCATTGACAAGCAGGTCCGGAATCGTATTGACTCACTTCGAAACTATGGTAATGGTGATTTTGATAAAATTTTAAGGGTCTGGTTTGCAAACTGATAACAGTAGATTAGAAGCATTTTCATTATAGGAAACACTATTCAAACAGAGTCACATCTTTTGTAAAAGACATTTTTTGATATGAAGAAATTTAAAATTTATTCAAAACAAAAAGATGACATACCCCTTATTGGGCTTGTCATTCTTCTAGGCTTTTTTTTCCTTGGAAAGTGACAACAAAATAACTGTTCATTAGCTGCTCTGCTTCATGTCTATTATCTCTTTGGTAGTTTCGTAAACAGGCTCCTTACTTTTGGAATCGCCTGACCTCTTTATTTGAAAAACTAACAAACAAAGACTAAATTTACAATGCTACAAATACAGAATGATGGTCAAAGATGAAGTATGTTTAATTGATTTCAATAAAACCAACTTAATACAAACTAGATCTGCAGCAAAGGAATTATAAGGCCTTACCAGTTGTAATGGAGCCAAAAAAACTCATATATTTTTTTTTATCATACGAGGAGGCTCTAGAACAGATTTTTTTGTATAGATAGGCTTAAGAACGGTAACGAGACTAAAATACAGAGAAATTAGGGAGAAAACAGTACATTTGATCAGTGCCAACGCACCTGTAGGGTTATGAAGCAGGAAGGATACAAACATCAGTTAAAACTAAGGTTGTTCGCGAACTGGTAAAGTAATTGTGTTACTAGTGGGCGTTAAGATGATTGATAGCAAACATTTTGTGTTATTGTTACTATACAATTGGTATTGTGTTAAATATATATATATATATATATATATATATATATATATATATATATATATATATATATTTAAATGTATATATAATTGGTATTTTAATAAAACTATGAAGCCTTTCATTTCATGAAAGACTAATATTACATTGTTTAAATGAAAAATAGTTTGTATGACCATACCTTTGATCATTATCCCACTATTCAACGTAAGTTTGAATCATTGCATTACAATATCAGATTAAATGCATTGTATTCTATGGTGCGTTCATTAGAAGTTCCAAGTCTCAAGGGAACATCTTCAACGAGGATCAAGGTCGGTGATAGTTATATCATTGATAATCTGAGAATAAGACCTGATTGTAGATTGGCTCGACTCAGGTTCCTCCAAACCTTGCTTCTGGTTGCGCCTATTTTGAAGGAAAAAAACCAGGTTGTTGAGGAACAGGGAATATGAGGGTATTGCTAGTGAGCATCAACATAATTATCGACAAGTTGGGACGATCTGTTGGATCTTCCTGAACACATAGGAGCGCGATGTGGATGCATCTTGTCACTTCCTCGATCTGATAATTCTCTACAATGGTTGGATCAACTAGCTCTAATGGTGACCCGTTTTTCCAAAGTGTCCAAGCCTGTAACAAAATGCTATGATCAGTCAAATTTCTATCGTAGGTAAATTTTGTTGTTGTTCAGTTTAGGTACTAACTTGGGTGACCAAATTCTCAGCTGTTGCGTCTGACGTCTGGTGGAAGCTGTTGTTCTTCCTGCCAGATATAATCTCAAGAACTAAGACACCGTAGCTATACACATCAGATTTCGTTGAGAACTGGCCATGGATCAGATATTCCGGGGACATGTAACCACTGCAAGATTAAATGTATATTGGTCAGGAAAAGATTGTTGAAACTTTGTCATAAGCCATCAAGGGTAACAACTATTTACGGTGTCCCAACTATCTTGCTTGTATTAGCTCCACTTTGGTCCATACCAAAGATCCTTGCCATCCCAAAATCAGCGATCTTTGGGTCCATATCAGCATCCAAAAGGATATTACTCGCTTTGAGATCACGATGTATGATAGTAAGCCGTGAATCTTGATGAAGATAAATAATTCCTCGACTAATTCCCCCAATAATGCTGTATCGTTTCTTCCAGTCTAACTGTCTTTTCACGGCTACTATAAATAAATATAAAGCTGTAATTATTGGATAATAGATATTGGTTTATTATGGTTTACTATAAACCATCTGGTTTAAGTTTCCGTTAGCTTTAACCAGCATATTTAAAGCGTTGTAACAAACTTTACCATTTTAATTCAATCAATTCTTTCTCTTCAATATGGTATCAAAGCATCACCCATGGTGATTTCTCGATCTTGATCATGAGCTTATCGATTCATCAATTGCTTCTTCAATTCATCGAAGATCTAATTGTTCTCGAGCTCGAGATCGTCTTCTTCGTTTACTTTCTTCCCGTTTTCTTCATCACCGTCGCTTAACTCGTCTCGTTTCTTGTTACCGACCTTGAATCTTCGAAATCTTTTCCGATACACCTCTCCGTGCTCGATTTCTCCGCTCCGATGGCTACTAATCCACAACAATACACAGATCTGTATGAGAATCCGTACTATCTACACAACACCGATCACGCCGGACTCGCCTTAGTCTCCGATCGTCTCACGGCTGGTTCCGAGTTTCATTCCTGGCGTCGCTCTGTTCGGATGGCTCTTAACGTCCGTAACAAACTTGGTTTCATCGATGGTACGATTCCTAAACCTCCTGAAACTCATCGTGATGCTGGATCTTGGTCACGATGTAACGACATGGTAGCTACTTGGTTGATTAACTCAGTCTCTAAGCAAATAGGTCAGAGCTTACTATTCCTATCCACTGCTGAATTGATTTGGAAGAATATTCTCTCTCGTTTTAAACAGAATGATGCGCCACGAGTTTATGAGATTGAACAACAGTTGAGTAAATTGCAGCAAGGTTCACTGGATGTTAGTGCTTACTATACTGCTTTAGTGACTCTTTGGGAAGAACACAAGAATTATGTTGAACTCCCTGTTTGCACATGTGGTAAATGTGAATGTATTGCAGCTGAGCTTTGGGAACGTCTTCAACAGCGTAGTCGAGTTACTAAGTTCTTGATGGGACTCAATGAATCTTTTGAGCCTACACGTCGTCATATTTTGATGCTCAAACCGATTCCCTCCATTGAAGATGTCTTCAACCTTGTTACTCAGGATGAGAGACAGAAGTCCATCAAGCCTACATCTACTCCTACGAATGTGGTTTTCCAAAGTTCTGGTCCTCAGGATTTTCCTATGACTGAAGCTACTCCTGATCATACTGTTTTTGCAGCAGCACATTCACAGTCTGGTTATCGTCCTAAACAGAGGCCACAGTGTACTTATTGCGGTCAACTTGGCCACATCGTTGGTAAATGTTTCAAACTTCATGGATACTCCCCTGGCCATAGAAACTATAAAACCTCTGTTGTCTCTCAAGCTCCTGGTGCTGGTTACAATCCTCGTGGTCCACAACAGTATGGTCAGCGTCCGCCTCAGAACACTCAACCTCTTCATGCACAGCAACCTCAACAAACTAATGCTGTGGCTCATGTGACTGCAAGTGTTGCTAATCCAGTTCATACTTCTGGACAAATGAATTCTGCTCATATTCAGCAACTACTTCAGCAGTTACAGGCTTGTGTGAATCCTTCCACGTCTGTTCAGCCTCAACAGTTGTCTACTGTAAATGAGAATGGTTACATGGCTCCTCAATCCACCTCTGGTATTTTACCATTTCCTTCTACTAGCCTTCGCTTTCAAAATAATATTCTCACCTTTCAACATCAATGTTTATCCTCTCTTTCATCTCACCTTTCACATGATGCTTGGATAATTGACAGTGGAGCCACTACACATGTGTGTTCGGAGCTTTCACTCTTTAGTCATACTTCGACTGTCTCTGGTGTTACAGTCTCTCTACCGAATGGAATTACTGAACACATTACACATATAGGAACTGTGCATTTATCATCCTCACTTGTTTTGCATAATGTGTTGCATGTTCCTTCGTTTCGTTTCAACTTGATAAGTGTTTGTAGTTTACTTCGTGATAGTAATCTTTCTGCTCACTTTTATCCTATGTTCTGTCTATTACAGGAGTCTACTCAGGACTCGATGATTGGTAGAGGAACTCTCCTTCACAATCTTTACATTCTTGAGACTCCTAAACCATCTTCGCTTGCTTTCTGTGGATCCTTGCAAGTTGATGGGCATCTTTGGCATCAACGCCTTGGACACTTATCATCTTCCAAGTTAAAGCTTCTCTCTGGTATTCTACCTATTTCTACGTCTAGTCTGCATAACTCGAGTCATTGTAAGGTCTGTCCTCTAGCTAAACAAAAGAGATTGTCATTTGTTTCCAATAATCATTTGTCTACTAGTCCATTTGACTTGATTCATTTAGATGTTTGGGGTCCTTTCTCGGTTGAGTCTGTTGAAGGTTACAAGTATTTTCTTACTATAGTTGATGATTGTACAAGGATTACTTGGGTTTACATGATGAAATATAAAAGTGATGTTTTAACTATCTTTCCTGCCTTTCTTCAACATGTTACGACTCAATATAACTATGTTGTTAAAGCAATGAGAAGTGATAATGCGCATGAATTGGCTTTTACTAAACTGGTTCAAGATCTAGGCATGGTTCATCAATTTTCGTGTGCATACACCCCCCCAACAAAACTCAGTGGTAGAACGCAAACATCAGCATATTTTAAATGTGGCTCGGGCTTTACTTTTCCAATCTAATGTTCCTTTAGGTTATTGGCCTGATTGCATTTACACTGCTGTTTTCATTATAAATAGAACTCCCTCTGTACTTCTTGATAACAAATCACCATATGAACTACTCTTAAACAAGTCACCTGATTACTCGTTCTTGAGATCATTTGGTTGTCTCTGTTATGCATCTACTTTACCTAAGGATCGTCATAAATTTTCTGCTCGTGCTGATGCTTGTGTTTTCTTGGGTTATCATGCTGGCTATAAGGGATACAAAGTGTTGCATTTGGCTGATAATAGCATTTCTATCACAAGGAATGTAGTTTTTCATGAAAAGTCTTTTCCATTCATAGATTCACAATCTTCTTTTCCTTCTTCATCTCGTAGTTTCTTTGATAAGATCATCTTACCATTACCTATACATGTTGCTCTTGATGCATTAGAAACCAGCATACCTGCATCTGCATCTATCAATAATTATGTTCCTAGAGAGACTATACCTCTGAGCACAGGACAAGGACAACTACTGAGTGCTCGACCCAAACGCACCGTCAAAACTCCAGGTTATTTGTCCCAATATCATTGTGCTCTTGCTCGTTCTTATCCTTTACCTAATACACTTGATTCTTCTTCTATTCCTTCTTTATCATCATCTACTCCTTGCCCTCTATCCTCTGTTCTTACATATGATAACATTACACCCATATACCAATCTTATATCTTTCCATATTCCCATGAGACCGAACCTACTACTTTCAAACAGGCTATGTTATCACCTCATTTTAAGCAGGCAACTATTGAGGAACTACAGGCTATGGAAGCGAACCATACATGGACAGTTGAGTCTTTACCCCCAGGGAAGAATGTCGTGGGATGTAAATGGGTATATACGATCAAGTATAAAGCAGATGGCACTATTGAGCGTTACAAAGCTCGTTTAGTTGCTAAAGGGTTTACTCGACAGGAAGGTGTTGACTTCACTGACACGTTTTCTCCTGTTGCCAAGCTTGCTAGTGTCAAACTCTTACTTGCTCTTGCTGCTATACAAGGATGGAGTCTTTCACAGATGGATGTGTCGAATGCTTTTCTACATAGTGATCTTGATGAGGAGATTTTCATGAGCATTCCTCAAGGTTATGTACCTGCTTCAGGTGTTTTACCTCCTAATCCTGTGTGTCGATTACATAAGTCTCTATATGGATTACGACAGGCATCTCGACAATGGTATCAATGTTTGGCAGCGGTGTTCTTATCTGCGGGATTTACTCAGTCACCAGCTGACAATACTCTCTTTGTCAAGCAATCTGGTGTCAGTTTTGTTGCTGCTCTTGTCTACGTTGATGATATAATGATTGTAGGCAATGATGATGTAGCTGTGACACAACTCAAAGATACTCTGCATCGTCACTTCAAGATCAAAGACCTTGGTCCTCTCAGATTTTTCTTAGGACTTGAGATTGCTCGATCTTCAGAAGGCATTTCTATTTCTCAGAGGAAGTATGCTCTGAGTCTTCTTTCTGATGCTGGTCTTTTGGGATGTAAACCTTGTTCTGTTCCTATGGATCCTCTTGTGAAGCTCAGCTGTGAATCGGGTACTCCCTTACCTGATCCCACTTCATATCGAGCTTTGATTGGTCGTTTACTTTATTTGACCATCACAAGACCGGATATCACATTTGCGGTTCATTCTTTGAGTCAGTTTATGTCTCGGCCAACGGATGTTCATCTTACAGCTGCTCATAAGGTACTCCATTACCTCAAGAATAATCCTGGACAAGGTCTCTTTTACTCTGCTAGCTCTTCTCTCTGCCTCAATGCGTTTTCTGATGCTAACTGGGGAACATGTCCTGATACACGCCGTTCTATCACGGGTTATTGTGTCTATCTTGGTACATCTTTGGTTACTTGGAAATCCAAGAAACAGGACGTTGTGAGTCGAAGTAGCACAGAAGCCGAGTACCGGAGTATGGCTCATACTACTTGTGAGCTTCTATGGCTTCAACAGTTACTCACAAGTCTGCGTGTTGCTGTATCTGCTAAAGCTAAACTCTTCTGTGACAATAAGTCTGCAATGCACATTGCAACGAACCCTGTTTTCCACGAAGGACCAAACATGTGGAAATAGATTGCCATACGGTTCGAGACCAGTTCAAGAAGGGTTTTTTCACATTGATGCATGTCACGAGTGCTAACCAACATGCAGATATCTTGACGAAGCCTCTGCATACAGGTCCTTTTCGATCTCTCCTGGCTCGTATGTCTATCTCAAGTCTCTTTCTTCCGCTAGAAGCTTCACCTTCAGAGACTTGACCGGGGCATATTGGATAATAGATATTGGTTTATTATGGTTTACTATAAACCATCTGGTTTAAGTTTCCGTT